TAAAATATTTTACGTCGGTTATTCTGTGATTAATGACATGTAATATGATTTAAACGTCTGTTCTTTTGTATATACGACATTTTTTTAATAGTTAAACGTTGGTTTATTTATTTAGTTAACGTAGTATATGTTAACCATGACGGTTTCTAGTTTATACAAATCTTTATTCCTTCAATTAGGGACGTGGATAATTATCTGTACGGCGTTTCGTTTGTGAATATTGACATGTAATATTCTTTAAACGTCTATTCTTTTGTGTTTGTGTCGTCTTTTATTAGTTCAACATCGGTTTCTTTATTTATTCAACATAGTATATGTTAACCACGACGGTTTTCTAAGTATTCCTTCAATTAGGGACGTGGATAATTATCTGTACGTTTGTGCCTGTGTAATTATTGACATGTAATATGCTTTAAACGTCCGTTCTTTTGCTTATGTGTCGTCTTTTATAAGTTAGACTGCGGTTTGTTTATTTATTTAACGTAGTATACGTTAACCACGACGGTTTCTAGGTTATACAAGTCGTATTCCTTCAATTATGGAAGTGGATAGTTATCTATACATCGGTTTTTTTTTTATCTTGACATGTAACAAACTTTAGACGTTTGAGTTTCAATAAAACCGTCATCTAATGTTGTCGAAGTTTTCATTTTACGATATATATATATATATATATATATATATATATATATATATATATATATATATATATATATATATATATATATATATATATATATATATATATATATATATATATATATATATATATATATATATATATATATATATATATATATATATATATATATATATATATATATATATATATATATATATATATATATATATATATATATATATATAGTAGTTAGACGTCAGTTTGTAATATTTTGTGACGTTGAAGGTTTTAACGACGTCGGTTATTAGCCGTCTTTGTTTTATATAACAAAAGATGGCGGTCAATTTCACGACTGTTTGAAAACCTTCTAGACAACGTTGGATTCCCGTCGTCTATTTCGATTTTTGTAGTAGTGCCATGTCGAGGGATCATCGTTGTTCGCTCCATAAGCTCACAGCATAGGAACTTCCCTTTATCATTCTCTACTTTCCCTTTTCCTCGGGTTGTAAACTTATCTCTTGTAATTACTGATTCATTAAGAAAGAAATATCAGATTGTTCTTCATCTCTGACCAGCTTCTCTCTCTACTCTCTCTTTCTCTACTCTCTGTCATTGCAAGATTATAGTGTAGGTTTACTCAATTGATATAGCTTAACAACATGAATCTTATACCTTGCTTGGGTGCATATTTTATCTCTTTTGTGATTGAAAAAGGAAACCTCTAAGCTTGGATATGCTTCTAGTATTCTATACTTTAGAGTTCGGTTTTCAAGGAATAACTTTCTCTTGAAGTGATGCTTGTTGTATTTCTTTCCACTTCTTTCCTTTTTATAGCTTACACAACTCATATTATAAATTGTTCTAGCTAGCATGATCAAATTGTTAGTCTTTAATTTCTGTGAATCGATCAGTATTATCCTCCTTGTGATTATTCCTTCAAAAAATTAAAATTTTCTTTTATTCAATTCGTGGAGCACCTGCAGCACTTTTGTCTCATGACATCGCATTCTGCAGAATTTCTCTCAAGTTCTCTTACACCCTAATTCACATTGGTAGTAGAGGTATGACCACGTTGAAACTCAAATAAACAAATTAACGTTATAATGTCATCTAAATCCCTAGATTTCTTTTCCCAATTTCCTTCTTATTCATATTGGGTCAGTGCTTATTTAAAGTCTTGATGTATCTATGTATTCCTTTGTTTTCCCATCACATGAATCTTATACCTTGCTTGGGTTCATATTTTATCTCTTTTGTGATTGAAAAAGGAAACCTCTAAGCTTGGATATGCTTCTAGTATTCTGTACTATAGAGTTCGGTTTTTCAAGGAATAAACTTCTCTTGAAGTGATGCTTGTTGTATTTCTTTCCACTTCTTTCCTTTTTATAGCTTACACAACTCATATTATAAATTGTTCTAAGCTAGTATGATCAATTGTTAGTCTTTAATTTATGTGAATTGATCAGTATTATCCTCCTTGTGATTATTCCTTCAAACAATTAAATTTTTCTCTTATTCAATTTGTACAGCACCTGCAGCACTTTTGTCTCATGACATCGCATTCTACAGAATTTCTCTCAGATTCTCTTACACCCTAATTCATATTGGTATTAGAGGTACGTCGACGTTGAAACTCTCTCACACTTCAGTATTAATTATATGTTAAGAGATAGTCTCTTGAAACTCTAATCTAGCCAATGGGGGGTCTAGGTCAGTGGAAAAGGACCTTGACTTGCAGACCACAGATTTCAGGTTCGAACCCCTATGACATTAGTTGTGTGTAACTCCACCCCTCTAGTTTAGACTATTCTTGTACTAAAAAAATAAATAAACTCTTATCTCTAGACATAAACCTACCTATGTTTTAACATTTATGAAAAGCCCAAATTTTAATACAGGTTAATAGTTGTCCTAGTATTATTTAGCATTTAAATTTAATTCCTTTAAATTTGGAAACCTATTCAATAATTAAACGTTTCAAACAAAAGTAAACTCCTAATATACATAAATAATAATTGAATACAAATTACTTATGTACAATAATAATACACATAAATAATAATAATAATAATAATAATAATATAGCTAAATAAACAATGATAATTATATACCTAATACAAATTAATCTTTTGCCTAAAAAGTATTGGTTAGGTCATTGTCCGTTGGAAACTTATGGTCATACATGCAAAATAGATAAATTACCTACATATCTGATACATGATGAGTGAATAGATAGGTAGGTATTATGTCTAGAATAGGGGGTCATTTTCAAGTTCATATTCATTTTTGGGGACATTTACAATTACATACTCAACTCACTGAGAATCTAAATTTCACCATAACGAGGCTTTAGAGGCCAATGACGACGCGGTCTTGAGGCGCACGCGGAGGTCCTTGAGGTACTGGTAGAAGGTCGAGACGATGAGGCAGGCAAGTAGCATGAGGGAGTAACTTTAGGAGAGTTCAGAGAATGGGGACGCTGGGGACTGAGATGGAGTGATTTTCACTTTGGGTTCAGAGAAGATGATTTTATGTTGGTGGGGGCTGGGTGGGAATGTGGTGTGGGTTGATTTGGTAAAGTTGGAGACCAGAGAAGTGTTGGAATTTTTTTGGTAATACAAGTAGAAAATCACTCAAGAGATTAATATGCAAAGATAAGAGAGAGAATTTTTGGAATTGGAGCTCAGAGGTCTAGCTTCAAAGAGAAATCCAGACTTGCTACTTGATGAGATTGAGGGGTTGAAGGGCTTGCAAATTGTGGAGATTGTGGTGGAGTGTGAAGTCCTTCCTCGTCGTTCTCTTATACTTCAATGTCATTATTAACATGAAGTGGAAAATATTAGACAGATTTGTTCTTCCAATCACAGCATGCTTCTTCATTGAAGACAACATCTCCAGAAATGATCACTTTCTTTTTCTTCAAGTCATAGAGCCTATAGCCCTTTGTATGACTACTGTACCCCACAAAGATACACTTCTCACTATTCTCTTCAAGTTTGTACCTGAGGTTCTTCAGAACATGAACATAGCATATTGATCCAAACACCCTAAAATAACTCACAGATTGTTCTCTGCCACCGTTTGCTTCAAATGGTGTCCAATCCTTAACAGCTTTAGTAGGACAACGATTCAACAAATACACAGCTCTATAAACTCTTCTCCGCAAAACACATAGGGTAGTCTCTTCTCATGTAAATTGGACTTTTCCATTTTGACAATAGTCTTGTTCTTTCTCTCAGCTACTCCATTTTGTTGTGGAGTATAAGCTTCAGTGAGTTGCCTCTTAAGTCCCATATCCTCACAAAATTTTCCAAACTCATTTGAAATGTATTCACCACTTCTATCACCCCTTAGAGTTTTAATTTTCAAACAATTTTTATTCTCCACCATCGCCTTAAACTTCTTAAAAACAGAGAATACCTATGATTTTTGCCTTAGGAAATATATCCATGTCATTCTTGTAAAATCATCTACAAAAATCATAAAGTGTCTATTACCTCCATGAGTGGTGGTCTTCATTGGTCCACACACATCCGAGTGGATGAGCTCCAAAGGCTTAGATGCTTTCCATGCTCTGGAAATGAGTCTTGATGTTGCTTCCCCTGCGCACACCCTTCACATGCTTCTTTTGCTTCTTGGATTGAGGGTAAACCAATCACCAAATAATGTGGCTGAAGAGCTTTCAGACTTTGGAAATTGAGCTGCCCCATCCTTTTATGCCATAACTAAGATAGTTCAACTACATCCACCTTCATTGCAACCGAATTAGAATAATTCATTTGAAGTGGAAAGCTTATATTTCCTTTCCTTCTAACCCTTTGCAATAACCTGACTTTTGTCCACTTTATCAAATATGTCACAGAAGTTGTCTCCAAAATACACATGAAGACCATTCTCATTCAGTTGGCCAATACTTAGCAAATTTTGATCATGATCTGGAACAAGCATCACATCCCTGACGAGTCTTCTTCCCTTCTTTGTTTCAATTGCTACCTTGCCTATTCCAATCACATCTACCCAAAATGCAACTCCCATCTTCCTTTGTCTTCTTCGACTCATCAAAGTTACAAAACCGGTTCTTGTTGCTTGTCATGTGATTACTACAACGACTATCAAGAAACCACACATTATCGTCTTTCTTCTCAATTTTAGCTGTCGGGCATGCATAGAAAAGATTGCCTTCATTGCTTCCTTCTTCTACATAGTTAGCACTTTTGTTCACATTCACTGTGCAATCCTTTTGTATATGACAAAATTTCCCACATCTATAGCATTTTGGTTTCCCCTTGAACCAACAAGTATTCTCAGAATGATTCTTATTTCCATAAACACTGCACTTAGCTTGATTGCTATTAACATGTTGTGAATTAGACATAGCCTAATTTGATTTCTTCTCAAAGGAATTTTTCCCTTTGGCATTCTGATTCTTCCCTTTCCGATTCTTGTTAGACTTGTTAGAACTAGGCTTGCTTTGTTGAGAAGATGACAGAGCTTGCTCTTTTCCTTTTGAATTCATAGTAAGCGTCTGAAATGCACTCTCCACAGAATATTCAGCATGCCTATTTAGTCTTTGATCAAAGGCTTGAAGTGAACCCTTTAACTCTTGAATAGTCAAGGAGTTCAAGTATTTAGTTCCCTCAATAACATTCACCATGGAATCATATCTTTGAGGCAATAAACTAATTAATATTTTCTCTATAATCCTTCTATCACTTAACTCCTCACCATATGACTTTAATTGATTATCATCAGTGAGCCTAGTAAAGTAATCTTTCAACAATTCATTATCTTTCATTCTTGCATATTCAAAATCTCTTTTAAGTGTCTGAAATTTCACACCTTTTATTTACCTCTGAACTCCTTCTCCAAGACATCCCAAGCATCCTTGGCTTTTGTCTCATTGGAGATCCTTGGAAAAAAGCCTTTGGAAAGGCCCATCTGAATCAGATATAGAGCTTTGGCATCCTTCTTGAGGTTTTCTTCCACCAATGCTCTCTCTGCTACAGTGAGCTCTGCTTCCTCCTTAGGTTTAACAACCCTAGTATCAACAAATTTCCACAACCCATAAGAGGTGAATAGGGTCCTCATCTTCACTCTCCAATAATCATAGTTTTCACCGTCAAATATCGGAAATGAGGAACTCCTATCATTGTTGCTGCTACTTGCCATCAAATTTTTTGAGTTTTAAAGTTAGGGTTTCACAGAAAGAAATCCCAAATTGAAGAACACAGAAAATACTCCCGGCTTAGTTGATCAGACTAAGCTCTGATACCATGTTGGAATTTTTTGGTAATACAAGTAGCAAATCACTGAGGAGATTAATATGCAAAGATAAGAGAGATAATTTTGGAATTGGAACTCAGAGGTAGCTTAAGAGAGAAGTACAAACTTGTTTTTTTTTTTTTTTTTTCTTTTAATTGATTCACAATAGAGAGCAACTCTCCCTACAAAATATCTATTACAAGGCTCTTTAAAGCCCACTTGATGGTTAGCTTACCAACCAAAAGGAAAGACTAGAAATAGCCAATTCACATATCACCTATGTGACCTCCTAAGAGCATCCACAATGGGCTCTCTAAACCACCTTTTAGACAAATTTTAGGGAGGAATTGGAAAAATACAACTCCAACCATGCTCCCTAAACCCTAAAATAGGGAGACCTGTAGGAGCTCCTAAATCTAAGGAGAGAGAAAGGACTCCTAGTGGCTCCCTATAATTTAATACTGCTTTATTTAATGAGTATTTCAAACCTTTAATTATTACTAACTATTTTTTATATTATTTTTTAATAGAAATGGACCAATTACAAAAGAGTTATAGCATTTATGACTCCCTAAACTAGAGAGCATGATTGGAGTTTAAATTTTATAGAGAGCTTCTAAAATAACTTTTATATGTTTTTAGCTAAAATTTAACTGAAAAATAGGGAGCATGATTGTAGATGCTCTAATAGCCTTACAAACAAAAACAACAAAGGATCAGACGTGGAGGGTCGTCCAGTGGGGAGAGTCGGAGATGCTGGCAATCGAGGAGTGGAGGGAAGTGAGCTTTTGGCATGGCAGGTGAACCACAGTCCAACGAAGGATCAAACGGTGAGGGAGAAGTGGAGGATGAGGTAGAGGATGGAGTTGATGAGGTCAACGAGGGTCTTTGGATCGCAATGGCTTCGCAGGGTAGGGCCTAGAATGAGAGGAAATAGATTTTGTTTTTCATTTTTCTTGTGATTTTAAAATTGTAATGATTTTAGCTTTTTTTTTATTTTATAAATTATTAAAATTATTTTTAAAAACTAGAGAATTTTTAATTATTTGTTTGTCCACCCGGAAGTCCTTGTCATTAAGAAATGAGTCCCACTTTTGAAACGTAAGCATTTAACAGATTCACTAACGATTTAGGTAACGAAGAGGTAGGTTTTCAGCAAGTTTGAGTATGTTGTAAATGTCCCTAAAAATAGATAACTTATTATCCATAAAAGATAATAGGGTATATTATTATTCATAAGATAATGGATATGCTTATTTACAAGTCGTTCACATTAAATATCACAAAATTAGTGAAAAATAAAAGTCAAAATATTGAAATAAAATATTAAAATCAGCACAATAAACATAGACAATTAAAAAAAAAACACATTAAGTGTGGGTATTGTAGGGGATTCGAAATATATTAAATTTGGCAGATTAAGTCCGAGGGCGTAATCAAGTATTTTTTAAAGGGTGGGCTAGCTAAAGTTATTACTTTAAAATCTAATGATATTTTTTGTTTTTACTTCCAGTTTATATAGTCTTTCTAGAAATAAAAATATACATTAAATCATATCAATTGCGGTAGTTCATAATTTCATTGACTAATTTTCAATACACTTTTTTTTCTTTTTATACAAGCTATATTTGTGGAGGGGGAATCGGACCTAGGACCTCGAGTGCATGGCTAAATGCTAATTTCCAATAAGGTTTAACATAAAACAAATACATATTAATGAAACCAACAGGCACATATTATAAAATGAAAAATATGTTGGACAACATAATTGAAAGTGTACCTATTTTAATGTGTATTTTTATTGATGTCTTACAACTAAACTCATAAAGAATTTGTAAGATCCCACATCGACCAAAGGAGAGGGGGTGATGTGCCTTATATGTACATGCCCGCCTCCACCTAGCACGAGGCCTTTTGGGAGCTCACTGGCTTCGGATTCATGGGAACTCCGAAGTTAAGCGAGTTGGGGGCTAGAGCAATCCAAGGATAGGTGACCCACTGGGAAGTTGCTCGTGAGCTCCCAGAAACAAAATCGTGAGGGCAGAGAGGGGGTCCAAAGCGGACAATATCGTGCTATGCCGGAACCGGTCCTGGGATGTGACAAAATTGAACTTTTCTGAACTAGTAATAGATTAATACATATTGGGCTATGTGTAAAACAAATTGAGTTTTATTTATAGAAATATAAGGGGATGGGCTGCGCAACATGCTGGTAAGAAAAAAATTAGTTTGAGGTGGAAAAATCAAATTTATTAATATTAATATTATACCCTAGGTCCAGGCAATATCAACCCTCTCACCCATAATGTCACGTTAGCCAACGATCAACTAGCTCTATTAGACTTTGAGACTAGTCAATAATATGAATTCGAGGTGAAGATCATGTATCTCGATATATTTAAGTCTCTCGATATATTTAAGTCTCTTCCTACAAATATTGTGAGACGAATAATTATTTCTACATTTGTTTTAATTGTGTACCTAAGTGAGTCATTTGGGATTGTTTGAAAATTTATGCGTGGGGGTTTGAAGGATTATAGTTCCGTCCACCACAGGGATGGGACAACAATATACACCCCTTAGACATCAGCCAATTTCTTTATAGCACCTGGTTTTTTTCTTAGTAACAATCTTTCATTTTTATTTTACTTATTTATTTTTGTTTGACAGCTCCGTGGATTTTTATACCGGGAGAAGCCTTCAAATTACTGTACAAATACATAAAGAGGAGCATTTATTCCCATTGCCTTTGAGTTTTTCCTTTCCCCAACAAAAAGAAAGAAAAATCTGACCCCAAAACAAAGTTGGGAAGGTAGTTAGTGGCGCTGATGGGGACAGAGTTTGGTTGTTTGACCTACTGTGGTCCTAACATAGAAGATCTTAAAGATGAGTTTAAAAAATTAATTGTGAAGAAAGATGAGTTGCAAGAGTTGGTCAATGAGGCCAAAAGGAAAGGGGAAGTGATCAACCCTCATGTTTTGAATTGGCTAAGCATGGTGGAAGAGATGAACAGCGAAGTCTCGCGTTTTGAAGATGAAGTCAAGAGGAGAAGACGATGCTTGAATTGGCTGAGTTTGAGTAGGACAGCGCAGAAGATTAAACAACATGTTCTTCATCTCCTTAAAGAAGGAAAATTCCAAAATATAGCCCATCCAGCAGCTCCACAGATCCAAAATGTAGCCCGTCCAGCAGCTCCACAGACGATACGGCCAACATTAACAGCAGGCGTTAGAGGCCCTAAATCCAGAATAACAGTCATGAATCATGTCTTGGAGGCTTTGAAGAATGAAAAAATAAGAATGGTTGGGATTTGTGGGATGGACGGTGTGGGTAAAACCCTAATGGCGGAAGAAATCATTCAAATAGTACAAGGAAAGCTGTTTGATGCGGTTGTGAAGATAGTTGTGTCCCCAAACCCAAACATTACAAAAATACAAGCTGAAATTGCAGATAAGGGAAGAGAACGAATCCTATGTGAAAGGATCCTCATTGTATTAGATGATGTATGGTCAGTTCTTGATTTTGAGGCAATAGGACTTCCGCTTGGACCTTCACATAAAGGTTGCAAAGTTTTGTTGACATCATCGAATTTGGATGTGTGCTATGAGATGGGGAGTCAAAAGAACTTTACACTCCCGATGTTAACTACAGAAGAAGCATGGGAGCTATTCCAGGAGACAATAGGTGAACCCTTGGATGCTGATCCTGATTTATGTGGTATTGCAAAAGCGCTCACAAATGAATGTGGAGGTTTACCGTTTAGTGTCGTAACTATTGCGAAAGAGCTACAAAATAATAAGAGTAAGTATGAATGGGCTAATGCCCTTCAGCAACTAAAAGCGCATGAAATTCCTCCCCAAGCTTATTATTCTAATATAAAACTCTGTTATGAACGATTGGAGAACGATGAACTCAAGTCATGCTTTTTACTATGTTGTTTATTTCCACAAGGTTACGATATTCCAATTGATTATTTGGTTAGATATGCGTGGGGGCAAGGAATAATTTCTGACAGGTTTGATTCAGTGGAGGCAGCAAGAATGCGAGTGCATTTTTTGGTTGTCAAACTAAAAAGGAGGTTTTTGCTGCTAGATAGCAGCAAGGAAGGCTGTACCAAAATGCATGGCGTAGTTCATGGCGTTGCCATATCAATTGCTTCCCAAGATATGGATCTTTTTATGGTACAAGATCAAGCTGGATATAGAAGTTGGCAAATAAAACCTCCATGCAAACAGTACACTGCAGTTTCACTGAATGATGTTAATATTGACAACCGCATTGTGACTGGTTTGGGGTATCAAAAACTTGAACTTCTACAACTGAAAAATACCCACATTTCAGAATCTTCCCTGGAAAGCATGTTGGCAGGGATGATGAAGCTCCAGGTTTTATATTTATTACATACAGGTTTTTCGGGACTGTCAACATCAATTAGAGTGCTGCCAAGATACCTTCGGACCTTATCTCTAGATGATTGTGCATTGGGAGACATATCTAGTGTTTGGAAATTGGAGAATCTCGAGATCCTCAGTTTTGCGCGTTCCAACATCAAAGTGTTACCGAAAGAAGTTGCACATCTTCAACAATTAAGGTTGTTAGATACGACAGATTGTTCTTATCTAAAGGAAATTCCTCGTGGTATCCTATCCACCTTAAGTAAACTAGAAGAGCTGTACATGACACGCAGCTTTAATAAATGGGAGCCTGCAGAGGAAGTAGATCTAAGCAAAGAAGGTGAGATCCGGATGGCAAGCTTAGCTGAGGTGATGTCTCTAACGTCTAAAAATTTGACAGTTTTAGCCATAGATATACCAGATTTCAAGTTGTTTCCGGAAGATGAAGTGCTCTTGAAAAAGGAAACAACAAGATTTCATATATCTATATGCAAGGCTAATACTTTTCGTATGCCACAACCCCTGGATTACGGATTTAAAAATACTGTTAAGCTGGTTGGTGATGCAAAGGAGTTCATTAAAAATGGAGATATTAGATTTCTGTTGAAGTACTCTAGAGCTTTGTACTTTAGAGAAGCTAAAAATCTGAACTGTGTCCTCAATGACCAAGTAAGTTTTCAAGGCTTGGAAGCTTTATCGATTCAAAATAGTAAGCAGGGCACAGAATCTCTTATAAGTGATCGAACGGGTGAGACTGCCTTCCTTCAGTTGAAGTCACTTGAGCTAAACGAGATACCGGATTTAATAGCAATATGGCAAGGGCAGCTTCAAAATCATCAATCTTTTGGCAACCTAAGATCCCTTCAGATCAGTTGTTGTTCTGAGTTAAGATGTGCCTTTCCAGTGTCTATAGCAAGAAACTTGGTACAACTCCAGTCCTTAGTTGTTTATCTATGCGAAAAAATGCAAGAAATTGTCTCAAATGAGGGGATGGAAGATGAGATTGATGCACCTTCCAAGGTTGCTTTTCCTAATTTAACGGAGCTCAATCTGTCTGGTGTATCAAACCTGGTTAGTTTCTACATAGCCAACCAGCCATGTAACTCAAAACCTGAGGTATGTGTGTGTGTCTATAAATATAATTGAGTAATTGTTCATTTTCTTTTTGATAATTAAATGTGTGTCAAATTTCTTTTTTCCTCTGAGAGTTAATTAATCCATTATTACATATTTGGTTGACTTGCGAATAATAATATGCTGATCAACTCCTCCCATTTGGCAAAGATGGCAGAGACTTGGTCGTCAAATCAAGGAAATGAAGCTGGCGGGTCCTCTTCTAAGAAATCAAAAATACTACTTCCACCATATTGCATTTCCTGGTTAAAAAATCTAGAAGAACTAGAAGTGAAGCTGTCATCAAAAATAGAAGTTCTATTTGATCTAGAGGGCCAGATGGTTCAGGGGAACACTGAAGAAATTCCGGTCTCCTTCACTCAACTACGAAAAGTGTGCCTTACAAATCTAAATCAGCTTGCACACTTGTGGAAGAACGTTCCATGTCGAATCCGGTGCTTTGAAAATTTAAGGTTTTTAACAGTCCTAAGTTGTGACAGCTTGAAATACCTGTTCTCCTACTCAGTGGCCAAGCAACTTGTGGGTCTTGAAGAATTAAAAATCTCTTATTGCAGGACTATGAAAACCATAGTCGAACTTCAGTATAAAGAAGAGATAGAGTCCACAAGGATCTTGTTTCCCAAACTGAGTCTTAGACTAGAAGACCTGTCAAGCCTTGTGAGCCTCAGTGAAGGTGTAGATGCTGATAATACTTTTGTATGGCCATCCACAAGAGTAATACACCTGAGAAGATGTCCCAAATTGGAGACATTGGGTTCATTGATTCCACGAAAACAAAAACAAAAAAAGAATATTCCACGAATCCAAAAGTTGGATGCAGGTCCTAGTACTCGTTCGCAACCATCAGTTTCCAGTGAACACACTTCCAAAAAAGAGGCAAGCATTTAAATGACTAACCTATTGTTGGTAATATATACTTTCCATATCAATATGTATTAATACATCTGCGCGGGCTTGCGGGTGTAAATATGCTCAAAGATCTGGTAAGTACTAAAAAAAGGTCAATGGGCATGGGCATCTATTGGTACTTTAGAAGATGAACTGCCTAAAATGTTTCCCGAATAAAATGTCTGAACTTTAGATGATGAAATGCTTATTCATGAATCCACCTATTCTTTTTCTCTTACTTAGTTCCTATTATTTTGATTTGTTGTTGATTAGTGGGCCATTTTAATTTTCAGGTTACACCGTCGACAACTATTAATGAGTCAGATGACAGTGATAATCTAGAATGTCTTGAAGTGGAAGACTGCGAGTCACTGCAAGTGATATTCCAACCTAAAGAAAGCAATTATGCACACAAATTTACCAAGATCAAACGATTGGTATTAAAAGCTTTGCCAATGTTAATTGACATATGGGAAATGGGTTCGCAACAAATCGATGGCTTTCGGAACTTGAGATGGCTAGAAGTACATGGTTGTGAGCAAATGACATATTTGTTTTCACCTTCCATAGTTAAACTTCTTATCAGCCTAGAGCAGATAAAAGTTATGGACTGTTGGATGATGGAAGAAATTGTTGCAGAGACAGAAGCAGAACATGCAGAGGAAATTGAACTTCCTCTAGTGAATTCCATCATGCTTCGTAATCTACCAAACTTCAAGCGTGTGTGCACTGAAGCTTATACTTTAAAGTGCCCATCCCTGGCAGAATTGGTTTACATTGAATGCAATCCAAAACTGAAAATAAAACTTGATCTCGGGGTTCTACGCACAGTTCCTGCAGAGAATGCATCTGTCTTGAAGCAAAGGTATGTTGTACTGTCAACATCAACTCTCACTAAAAATATTTTGGAGTCTATATAGAAATGATCCATGCTAAAAATGCTGCGAAAAACCCTTGTATGACACTTACTGAAACAAGGCCCAATTTGCATTTAATACTTATTTTCTATGGCTATTTTCTCCTTAAAGGTATTAACCAGAGAGGAGATTAAGATACCAGTGAGAGATAATGAGAGTGGTGGTTACCAACAAAGAGAACAGGTACTGTGTAGGGAAGATTTCTTCCCCTTTAAAAAGTCGTGACTATTTTTTATTTTAAATATTCTATGTGATGAAAATTTTTCTTGTTTTTTGCCCAAGGTTAGGAAGGTGGATGGTGGTTTTCTCACACACATTGTCAAGGTGGCATGGGAGTTCGAACTTGAGACCACTGGTTTGCAAGACAATGCCCTTTTCCACCGGACTTGACCCCCGTTGGATAATGACAATTAATGTTTATGTTGTTGCTATCTCTACCCCACATTCATTCTAGGTTGCTGATTTAGTTAACACCTCAGTCCTTCAACAAGATGGTTAATGCAGACAGAGGAAGGAACAATTTTTCTCACCTGGCAACAAATCACTTTCTAAGTATTGTTTTTCTTCTTTGGATAATTTTTCCATGTAATATTGGTGAGGCTAATGCTCTCCGTGTAAATTTGTAAGTGCTTTGGTTGTTGAAGCTTTTGATGTTATTTATGCAAAGTTGCAAAACCCCCTGCCCTGGTATGAGAGGCAATACTGACGAACAAAATGATTTTAAATCAACTGAATTTGTTCAGCGCAAGAATGTGCTTTGCTGATGTTTAAATAAGAAAGTAGGATGCTTATGGGGTTCAGTTCAAATTTGTTAACAAGTATATCAACCTAGGTTCTGCTTTCGATGCAAATCTTGTGTAGGTAGCAAGAATGCAACAGAAATGTGATCTTAATGGAAACATAGAAATGGAAGTTCCTGATTTTAGCTTGCAAAAGCTGCATCCTTGTTACATTTCCTTTGAACAGCTTCTAATTTGAGGTTGAAATGCACATGGGACATCATTGCATGAAAACGAATATGAACCGGAAGTGGTCTCTGACAGGACCCGCCCCGAATTCCTCGAAACTCGAGACGAATCCTGTGGAGTTTTTTCGACATCACACCAATGCTGGGCCCACTTACTAAAAATTTTGCCTCTTTTCCAAATTAAGGGAAAAGAGCACAAGACTTTCTGCCGAAATTTCGGCAGAGTCTCTCCTGTAAATTGAACATTCCCCAAAAATTCCAACCTGCATAAAACACATTTTAAAACACCAACTGACAGCATGCACAAGGTAACAACATGCAATCACATAATAGGCCTCCGGCCTTCAGATAATTCAAACCAAACCATTCATGATCTCAAACAATTATACGATTACTCCCAAAAATCATTAAACCGGATTCAAATCCATTAACCACATCAAAATCCGATCACACATTCAGAATCAATCAAACCTTTTAAACGCAATAATATTCCGCGGCTGCACCTGGTGAGACCTCAGGCTACCTACGTACCCTTGGACAAGGGATCAAGCCACACGTAGTTCTCATCTCAACAGTCACAACTCCGATAATGAACAATTATTTACAACATAACCAACTATACATTTCAGATCTATCACAAATCTAAATCCGATAAAAACACATTGAAACATTATCACTTCCTTCCCAAGGCATCGTATTAAGAAGACATCCGAAGGGCCTGTTCAAACTCCGACGAGCCTGGGAAATACAAATCTCCGAAGGGCCTGGGCAAACTCCGACGGGCCTGGGCAAAATAAATCAATCTCCGAAGGGCCTGGACAAACTCCGACGGGCCTGGGCAAAATAAATCAATCTCCGAAGGGCCTGGGCAAAATAAATCAATCTCAAACATAAAACCCACAACCGGGGAGGTACCTAAGGTAGTGCTAATAACACTCAAATTAACATTCTAAGTACCCCATACAAAATCAACAAAGATATCACTTTCTCAATTATTGTAAATCTACACTCAAGATATACAAATGTATCCAAACCCAAATATACAACACAAATACTTCATAATATATCGAATCCATTAATCAAATATATAATATATTTCAAATGAATCATTAAAGCAATATACATAAACTTTCCACACTTGGTCAACTGGGCCCGCGGGGCCCACGACCTCCGTTTTACGATCCAAACGTTTCTATGGACTCCTCAAGGTTTAGGAAACATATCCTACAAGTTTGTTTCAGATCGGACGGTCGGATCGCTCACGATCGCACGATCGGACGGTTATCGTAAAACACAAACTTTACGTTATTGAATCGGAACATCCGGGGCTCCAATTCACAATCCGTTGAATCCTACATGATCCTAGGAATACCTAGATCAACATATATTAATTTGGAAGTGATCCTACGGTTCTAACATATCGAACCCGGATAACACACGATATGTAAAATCCATTCGGGGTTTGTTGTGTAAATACAGCTGCACCAAAATGGATTCAGCTGCATCCTCAACTTGTGATACTCGCAAGTGCACGAGCCGTTCGGTAGTATAGCGTATGTAAGTGCGAGGTCGATCCCACGAGGATTGGTGATTGAATGATTCAATTCATTTTCCCTACACAAAACAGAAATGAAAAAGAAGGGAAATAAATAAAACAAGGAAGAAAGAAAATAACTAACTCAAGCAGATAAGTTCCCAAGTTCAATTAGATTAACGGATTGATTCTAGCTAATGTATGATTAAGCCATGGTGTGTGGTCATAACCTTGTGTTCCTAATTCCCTAATTTGATCATTTGTTGTCTAACCTAAAATTAAGCATTAGGAACCCATTAAGCATAGAAGAACAATTTAAACAACCAAGCATGTATCTAATCCCTGTTGTCGAATGTCCATACATACTCTTCCTATTCATAGTTCAATTCGAATTAAAGCATGGTGTATACTCTTAATTCAAACCAAGATAGCTAACATGCAAGCCTAAATAGTGATCAATCATTCAAACTAGCATATTAACTTATAAGAATAATGAATAAGAACATGAACCATAATTGAAACTTGGAAACTAAAGAAAAGAATTTACATAACAATGAAAATTAAAGTAGAACGTGGAAAGACTTAAAGGAAAATTTCAGCACAAAGATCTCATTATAACAATTGAAAACTAGAAAATGAAACTAAGAGAACTTGAGGGAGAGAAGGGAAGGGAGCTCTAGAGAAGTGTTCGAGAGCTCCCCCCCTTGGGGTGTGTTTACAAGATTAGGAAACCTCACTATTTATAGGCCTAAGGAAGTTGAAAATCTGAATTATACAATTGAATTATCTAAACACACTAACTTCACCTAACACACTACACTTAATTCACCAACTTAACCTAACACACAATTGCATTTGAAAACAATTCCTCTTGTCTTTAGGCTTAGTGTTGCACCCCCACTTCAACTTCAATTAATTCATTTGGCTGCTGCAAAATTCCACTCAAAAATAGGTATTGAATATGCTTCACCAAACTTTCCCACAATCAACAACACTTCATCATGCATATGTCATGCATGACAATGCATTGCAGCCAGCTTGTGGGCTCGTTTTGGGCTTGTGGCTCCAATCTGAAAAATCTGGAAAAATATGGATCTTGAAGCTCTTTGTCTTATATTTCCAAGCATATGCAGCCCAGCTCAAGGAAAAATCGGAAAGCCCTTCAAATGTGATTTTTGGACCAGTAACGCAGATACTGCCGAATTTGACCTTCAGTTGCCAAAATATGTATAACTTTCTCTAGAAGACTCGGAATCATGAACCGTAAAATTATACAGAAACTAGACTTACGTATCTTTCCAATGATGTATGGCTCATCATCTGGTTCTTCTTGAGAAAATACAGTCCAATCCGTGAAGTTGACTGATCTGCAGACACCGCTTGAGCTAACTTGTCTCCAAAATGCAATTAGTGAGTCCTTAAGTTTATTACACTGAAACAAACACAAAACTTATTACAAACGTTATCCGAATTGAGATCCGTGAATTCCTACGCGCTCGTGACAACTAGGAGATCGCATTGGGACAAAATGCCCCTCTGATACAGTGCCCACGCGGCGCCACACGCGCTGGCAGCGCGTGGGTGTCCAAAGCGATATCGCATCGCTGGAAAATCTCATAATCTCGGGCCAAGACTCCTACCCTAGGTAATACCCCTAATTTGGAGCCACTTTTGTTCTTGGACATACCCCAAAAAGTCGACGGAAGTGGCTGAAAATGGAGGTCAAAACCGGCATATTTTTCTATCGCTTATTTAACTACCAAAACGCAGAAATTTCGCCTATCCAACTCAACCAGCAGCTAGAACACCACGAGAGGTTGAGAAAACATACCTGGATCGCAAGATTTGGTTGCCGGAATCACCCGAACGAGCCCCGTGAAGTTTTGGGTAAAACCGGCGACATTTCTCGATATTCCGGCGAGCACAGGTGGCGGTGGCGGCTGAGAAGGGTTGGGATGGGTAGGCGACGTCGCACTGGTTCTTTTGGTACCGGTATCACCCAAAATGGTGGCCGAATGTGCCGGTGGTGGCCCAAAAATCCTCCGAATGAATAGTAACAGCAAGGGGGGGGGGGGTGTTTCTGTGCGCGCAGGGGAGAAAGAGAGAGAGCTTGAACAACCTACCCCATGTAAGACCCGTGTCTTGGGGAAACAAGAAGGGTGAGCGATCCCACATCGCTCGGGGAGGGAAAGGTGAAGTGCTTTATATGTGTGGGCACTTCTCTTCCTAGCAAGAGGCCTTTTGGGCAAGATAACATTAGTTTGAGCCCAAGAACAAAACCGTGAGGGTGGGGCGAGGCCCAAAGCGGACAATATCTAGGGGAGTCAGGTCGTGACAAATGGTATCAGAGCTGGACCCCGACTGGTAGTGTGCCAGCGAGGACGTTGAGCCCCAAGGGGGGTGGATTGTAAGACCCGTGTCTTGGGGAAACAAGAACGGTGAGCAATCCCACATCGCTTGGGGAGGGAAATGTGAAGTGCTTTAGATGTGTGGGCACTTCTCTTCCTAGCAAGAGGCCTTTTGGGCAAGATAGCATATATCTTGCTAGGGAAGTCGGGTCGTGACACCCCATGGTTGGCCTATCCTTCTCATCATCTTGAATGCACCAACAAGCGACTTTGCATGCTCTACCAAGTTCATCCTTGTCGGCATGCTGCAGTTTCCGTCTATTAGCTTTGCGAGACCAAAATCTCCAAGTTTCCTAGTACTCCTTTTGGGCACTTCTCTTCCTACCAAAGTGGATTCCCTTAAAATTACATGACGCTAATGAAGAAGAGTTTGTCGTGGTTAACTACCAGTTAACACTGCGGCAGTTTAGGTAAAACAACGTCTTTACTTTCTACGTCTTTACTTTCTAAGGGGGCTTTCCTACTGTCGTTGTCTTGAGAC